TACGACACTTCCTAGATATTTAAAACTTTGTATTGCTTGATTTTGGCGTGACAAATTTTTAGTTTGCATCTTGTGCTTGCACCTGTTTCTGACAACAATACATTGTATCTAGTTACAATTGATGTTTAGTCCTTTCTTCTTGCTTTCCTTTAATACCTTCACTAGATCTTTACTACTTTCTTTATGAGTTCCTATAGTTTCTGTATGTCTGTTATCAATACTGAACCATCTGCATAACTTATTGCTGTCTGTTATCAATACTGTGCCATCTGCATAACTTATTGCTGTCTGTTATCAATACTGAACCATCTGCATAACTTATTGCTGTCTGTTATCAATATTGTGCCATCTGCATAACTTATTGCTGTTGCTGCCAATAATGAATCCTGGGAGGACTTCAAATTATCTCAGAATTGCTTCACTGTAATGTTTGAATAAGTCTAGTGAGAAGACACATCCTTGTCTTATGCTTTTTATTTTTGTATATTTACTGAATTCATTTTTTGTCTGTATGCAGGCGGTTTGCTCCCAGAATAGGTTCTGGATTATTCTAATATCCTTCTTAAATATGTCAAGCTGACCTAGCAGGTTTTTTATGTACTTTATCAAATTCTTTTGCATAATCTATAAAAGACAGTTACACATCATTCTGCATTTGTATTGCTTTTTCTCATATTATTCAGAGCATAAATATTGTATTTCTTGTTTCAGTGTCTTTAAGAAAACCTCACTGTTCTTGTACAGTTTTTGGTGCAATTCTGCTACACACACTTTTCATCAGAATTTGAATAAGATGTTTTTACTATGTAGTTCATTAGGTTGATTGTCCAGTGGAGTTTGCATTCATTTGCATCTAAGATGGCACTATGAAAATGGTATATCACCACTTTTGTATATCTTATTTGTTATGCCTATAATTTTGTCAATGTCAAAATCATCTAAGGCCGCCAGCATCTCCATTACAATTCCTTCTGGTCCTGCCACTTCGTTCTTGTTCAATTTGGCCAGTTCTGATTTCATTTCAGATTTTAATATTTCCGGTCCTTCTATATTTTTGTGTATTGTGGATTTTGTTCTTTTCATTGTGGAAAAGTCTTCCCATGATTCATTCCATTCTTCACTATTGTCTGCTTTCATTCTTTTCATTTTATGAATCCTGTCAATGAATACACCTTTTGTCCTATAATTTCACTTATTCCTCTATACATGTCCTTATCTGCAATGTCCATTCTTTCTATTTCTTCACACATCTCATTGAGCCATTCTTCTTTTGCCTGTCTGCATTTGTTTCAAATTTCATTGTATTATGTCCGATATTATGTACTATACCATGGCATTGTATGTCTTCTCCTTTTCATCATATCAAGAATTTCATCTATCATCCATTCCTTTTTTTCCTTGACAAGTTTTCTTTGGAATGATCACATTTGCTGATGTTACTGAAGCTACTGTTAATGTGCCCCACTTTTAATTTCCATTCTCATATAGTTCATTGTATTTGCTTTTAATGCTGTCAATGTACACCTCTTTCAAATTCAGGTCATTCAAGAGTCTGTTGTATTGCGATTTGGATGCTGCCTTGGCTCTCTTCAACTTCCTTAATTTAACTCATAGCTTACATATCGTTGGAAGATGGTCGATCCTGCAGTTAGCACTGTATTCATGAATCTCTTATTTTTTGTGATGTAATTTATTTATTTATTTATTTCTTCTCCTGGACTTCTCTATGTTCACAAAAGTCTTGAGTTTTCTTGAAACAAGGTGCTGATTTCTACCGGTTTGTTTGAAATGCGTCATTGTATTAATTTTTCTACACATTCATTTTCAAGTTCCTAGTTCAAATTTGCCAACTATTAGAGCATCTCACTTCTTTCCTTGGCATTCAGGTCTTCCATGACAATTATAATTTCCTGTGCTTTGCACTGAGCCTTGACATTGTCCATTGTACATTAAACATTTTCAGTTACGACTTCTGTACTCTGTGTTGCCCATAAAAAAATGATAGATATATTAAATTATTATATTATTTGTTGCCTCAAATCTTCTTAATCTGTAGAGATATTGAACAGAAATCACTGTTATATAGAATGACTGATATTACATAAAAGTTCAAACTCTTCAGACATCATTATTACATTTTTCGTCCTCTGTTAAAACACTTCATAGATATTTAAATTTTTGTATTGTTTTATTATGGTTTAACAAATTTGTAGTTCACATCTTGATCTTCACTTGTTTCTGAAAACAATATATTGTATTCCTTTCAGTTTAACTACAAGAATTCTATCAACTAAATGATAGTATCCCAGAATGCATTTCTTCATGCCTTTATCTAGTATGAGCCCTTCTCACCTCTCATTTTTCTCTCTGCCTGCATATATAATTCTGTGTTTATCACTGATTAAATCTTCATTATTTGTCAACCTAGTTACACCTATAATAATAACCTTTAATCTCATCATTTTCTGCTTTGTATTTACAAACTTGCCACCTCAATTTGGCATTCTAATGTTCCAAAACTATATTATGTTTGATGCAAACAGTTGCTGGATGGCAGTCTAGTAACATCTGTCATTCATGTCTTTCATTATTGGTTCAGGGATCAATTCCAAGGAGTCTGAGCCTTTCACATTATCATTATTTATAGGCGGAAACTGCCCAGTCCTCACTTTCCAGCAAAACCGTCTCCCAGTCATTGTTAAAGAAGAATTATTTTCTACTCTCCACCCTCTATTTCATAGGATGGATGTGTTGAGCCTTTTACTGCTCTATTGCTACTTCTATGGAAAGTGCTTGGATGAATTATATTCCATGGTTCTGCCAAATCTAACCTTCCCGGCTAGGACCCACCATGCCACTTATGTCGTAGCAAACCACTTGCATTCCCTCCATATCCATCTTTTGATATTAAACCTAAATATCTTCAGTGAACAACAAAAATGAAGGAATTGTCCTTGCACTTCCAATATTTTTGAAGGGGACAATATATACAAGGTCTGTCTGAAAAATAATGCAGCTGCCTGTGCTGTGTGAGCTACAGGCAAAAGAGGGATAAGCTGATTGTGTCATCATCTAAGATATCTTCGGAGTATATAACTGTAATCTTAGCTTTCTACAACAATTTCATTTTTTTTTTCGTAGCTGCTTCAACATGACAATGCACCTGCAGAGCATCCGGCTGTTACTGGCCAAGAAGAACATTGCTGTAATGGAACAAGCTGCCTAATTCACATAATCTTGCCCCATGTGACTTTTTCTTTTCCCCAAGATCAAGAGGATTATCAAGGGGATACATTTTGAAGGTGTGGGGGCCATCAAGGGGGCCATAATGACAGAACTGAGGGGCATCCAAGAATAATCATTCTAGCAGTTTTGAAGTTGTTTGTTGTTTGGAATTGAAATAAATTTTTGCACACCAGTACCATTACTTTTCAGAGAGACCTTATATATATATATATATATATATATATATATATATATGATGATAAATATATGTAATAATTGCCATGAAAATTACATAGGAGAAACCTCATGCAATCTAAATAAAAGATTATATGAACACAAAATAGACATTTTACAAAACAATACAAATGCATTGGTTGCCTACCATAAAGAGACTGACCACAATTTTGACATAAAAAATGCTACTCTGTGCAAAGGATAAAATAATTCAGTATGATGAAAATGTCTAGAGAGTGCCTTGATTGCAAGATCATCTACAGTAAATTTGTGTCTGGGTTCTTACAAGATTTCACCATTCCTAGCAGAACTTTTATTACCACAGTGTGGGATATCTGTTAACAAAAGTGATAGAAAGAAAAAGAATCTAAATAAAATCAGCTAGATTAAAAAAAGAAAAATTGAAATTCCCAGCATCCCTCGTTTGTGTGCATGTGTAGTTGCACCAACATAACAAATTTAGTTTGATGAAACTTTAAAGGATGAAATGTGCCACAAAAGAAATTTTCCACCTTGTCATACATTTTTATATATATATATATATATATATATATATATATATGGATGCAACAAAAGGTCATAATATTTTTCAATAGGTGGTGATGAACATGTGATTTCATCAGTGGCGTAGCTGGGGGGGACGTGGGGGCAGATCGCCCCGGGTGCCAGTACAGGAGGGTGACACAATGTCACCACCAACAAAATTTTTCAACCAGGCTAAGGTGCCAAAGATAGTCTGAAAACAGTGGTGGAGACACAGGGTTTCGCAGACGGGCATATGACCCCCCAGAAATAATTTATGACCCTCCAGTTTTGTCCCCCTGTCAGAAATTTTCTAATAAATTGTCGGGAAATTTGTGAGTAGGAAAAATAGCAATGTTTTCAGCTTTCATGTGTTTCAGTTGCTACAATCTTGGTTACTAACAAGAGACATTGTTGTAACATTTTATCGGATGATATGGTGTTTTAACTCTGCATCATTAATAACAAATACGAAGCGAAATACGAAGCCAAAAATACAACAAACAATTTCAGTCTTTCCTGTGTATCAATTCGCTGGGATGCAATTTTCCATTGAGTGAGCGATATACTTTTGAATATATCTACTAGTGTTGGGACGATTAATCAGAATTGGAATCAAGAATCGGAAAAATTGGAACTTTTTGGGGTATCGGAAATGGTATCGGAATCGGAAAAATTTGTGCCTATTTTCCGATTCCAAAAACGATTCTAGCTACGCCACTGGATTTCATTTCACATGTATGGCATATATACATATTCTGAAAATATTTTTACAGACCTTTTAGTTCCACACAGGCAATGCAAAATTTGAGATAACATATCTGGGAAATACTACATTAATAGTCAAAAATCTTACCTAAATTTTCTTATTTCAGACTAATAACTTTATTTTCATGCTTTCATGAAAAAAGAGACTTGGAACCACATAAGTGTCAAGAGTGAAGATCATCTGATTGATTTAATAAAGCAAATGTAGACTTCCAAATTGACAAATAACTGCATGTTTAAAAATCAGTTTCTTGTTCTTTCTTTCATTGTTATTACTTTTTCATTCTTTATCTTCCTTTTCTTTCAGTTATTCTTTGTTCATTAACTTTGTTTTCTTTCTTCAATTATACTTTCTTATTAGTCTTTGTTATTTTTCTCTCTTTCAGTTATTCTTTATTCTTTCATGTTTATCTTTCTTTATTTTCTTTCTTCAATCATTCTTTCTTCTTTATACTTTGCTATTCTTTCTTTCAGTTATTCTTCCATGTTTATCTTTCTTTATTTTCTTTCTTCAATTATTCTTTCTTCTTTATTCTTTGCTATTTTTCCTTCTTTCAGTTATTCTTCCATGTTTATCATTCTTTATTTTCTTTCTTCAATTTTCTTTCTTCATTATACTTTTTATTCTTTCTTTTCAGTTATTCTTCCATGTTTTATCTTTCTTTTTTTCTTTCTTCAATTTTCTTTTTTTTTTATACTTTGCTATTTTTATTTCTTTCAGTTATTCTTCCATGTTTATCATTCTTTATTTTCTTTTTCAATTATACTTTGCTATTTTTCTTTTTTCAGTTATTTTCATGTTTATCATTCTTTATTTTCTTTCTTCAATTATTCTTTCTCCTTTATACTTTGCTATTTTTCTTTCTTTCAGTTATTCTTCCATGTTTATCTTTCTTTATTTTCTTTCTTCAATTATTCTTTCTTTTTTATACTTTGCTATTTTTCTTTTTTTCAGTTATTCTTCCATGTTTATCTTTCTTTATTTTCTTTCTTCAATTATTCTTTCTTTTTTATACTTTGCTATTTTTCTTTCTTTCAGTTATCCTTCCATGTTTATCATTCTTTATTTTCTTTCTTCAATTATTCTTTCTTTTTTATACTTTGCTATTTTTCTTTTTTTCAGTTATTCTTCCATGTTTATCTTTCTTTATTTTCTTTCTTCAATTATTCATTCTTCTATATTCTTTGCTATTTTTCCTTCTTTCAGTTATTTTTCCATGTTTATCATTCTTTATTTTCTTTCTTCAATTATTCTTCCTTCTTTATTCTTTGCTATTTTTCCTTCTTTCAGTTATTCTTCCATGTTTATCTTTTCTTTATTTTCTTTTTATTATTCTTTCTTTTTTTATACTTTGCTTTTTTCTTTCTTTCAGTTATTTTTCCATGTTTATCATTCTTTATTTTCTTTCTTCAATTATTCTTTCTCCTTTATACTTTCTATTTTTCCTTCTTTCAGTTATTCTTCCATGTTTTCCTTCTTTATTTTCTTTCTTCAATTATTCTTTTCTTTTTATACTTTTGCTATTCTTTCTTTCAGTTATTCTTCCATGTTTATCTTTCTTTTATTTTCTTTCTTCAATTATTCTTTCTTCATTCTTTTTATTTTCTTTCTTTCAGTTATTCTTCCAATTTATCATTCTTTATTTTCTTTCTTCAATTATTCTTTCTCCTTTATACATTTGCTATTTTCTTTCTTTCAGTTTTCTTCCATATTTATCATTCTTTATTTTCTTTCAATTATTCTTTTCTTTCCATACTTGCTTTTCTTCCTTTCAGTTATTCTTCCATGTTTATCATTCTTTTTTTTTTCTTCAATTATTCTTTCTCCTTTGCTATTTTCTTTCTTTCAGTTATTCTTATGTTTATCATTTTTATTTTCTTTTCTTCCTCATTCTTTCTTTTTTATACTTTGCTATTTTTCTTTCTTTCAGTTATTCTTCCATGTTTATCATTCTTTATTTTCTTTCTTCAATTATTCTTTCTCCTTTATACTTTGCTATTTTTCTTTCTTTCAGTTATTCTTCCATGTTTATCTTTCTTTATTTTCTTTCTTCAATTATTCTTTCTTTTTTATACTTTGCTATTTTTCTTTTTTTCAGTTATTCTTCCATGTTTATCTTTCTTTATTTTCTTTCTTCAATTATTCTTTCTTTTTTATACTTTGCTATTTTTTCAGTTATCCTTCCATGTTTATCATTCTTTATTTTCTTTCTTCAATTATTCTTTCTTTTTTACTTTGCTATTTTCTTTTTCAGTTATTCTTCCATTTTATCTTTCTTATTTTTCTTTCTTCAATTATTCATTTCTTCTATATTCTTTGCTATTTTTCCTTCTTTCAGTTATTTTTCCATGTTTATCATTCTTTATTTTCTTTCTTCAATTATTCTTCCTTCTTTATTCTTTGCTATTTTTCCTTCTTTCAGTTATTCTTCCATGTTTATCTTTCTTTATTTTCTTTCTTCAATTATTCTTTCTTTTTTATACTTTGCTATTTTTCTTTCTTTCAGTTATTTTTCCATGTTTATCATTCTTTATTTTCTTTCTTCAATTATTCTTTCTCCTTTATACTTTGCTATTTTTCCTTCTTTCAGTTATTCTTCCATGTTTATCCTTCTTTATTTTCTTTCTTCAATTATTCTTTCTTCTTTATACTTTGCTATTCTTTCTTTCAGTTATTCTTCCATGTTTATCTTTCTTTATTTTCTTTCTTCAATTATTCTTTCTTCATTATACTTTGCTATTTTTCTTTCTTTCAGTTATTCTTCCATGTTTATCATTCTTTATTTTCTTTCTTCAATTATTCTTTCTCCTTTATACATTGCTATTTTCTTTCTTTCAGTTATTCTTCCATGTTTATCATTCTTTATTTTCTTTCTTCAATTATTCTTTCTCCTTTATACATTGCTATTTTCTTCCTTTCAGTTATTCTTCCATGTTTATCATTCTTTATTTTCTTTCTTCAATTATTCTTTCTCCTTTATACATTGCTATTTTCTTTCTTTCAGTTATTCTTCCATGTTTTCATTCTTTTTTTCTTTCTTCACTCATTCTTTCTTTTTTTTTTTTATTTTCTTTCTTTTTATTCTTTAATCATTCTTTATTTTCTTTCTTCAATTATTCTTTCTCCTTTATCTTTGCTATTTTTCCTTCTTTGTTATTCTTCCATGTTTAACTTTTCATTCAATTATTCTTTCTTTTTTTTTTCTATTTTTCCTTCTTTCAGTTATTCTTATGTTTTCATTCTTTATTTTCTTTCTTCAATTATTTTTCTTTTTTACTTTTGCTATTTTTCTTTTCAGTTATTCTTCCATGTTTTATCTTTCTTTATTTTCTTTCTTCAATTATTCTTTCTTTTTTATTTGTATTTTTTTCTTTCAGTTATTCTTCATGTTTATTTTTCTTTCTTTAATTATTCTTTCTTCTTTTTGCTATTTTCTTTCTTTAAGTTAATCTTTTTTCTTTCATTTTTTCTTTCTTGTTTTTTTCTGTTTTTTTTCCTATTTTATTTCTTTTATTCTTTTAAATTCCCTATCAGATTTTTTATTCCATCTTCCTTTCTCTCTTTTCTTTCTCTCTTTTTTTCTTTTCTCTTTCTTTTCTTTCTTTTTTTCTTTTCTTTCTTTATTAATCTTCCTTTATTCATCTTTTCTTTTCTTTTACTTTTTGTCCATTCTTCAAACTATCTTTCTTTTGTTTGTTTCTTTCTTTCTTTCTTTCTTCCTTTCCTTCTTTATCTTCCTTTTCCTTCTTTAACTTTCCTCTTTTCTTTCTTTCTGCTATGCTTCATTCCTTCTTTCTTTGTCTTTTTCTAAGTTATTCTTTGTTCTTTCTTAATTTTCTTTTTTTATTTCTTTCTCTTTACTTAAACATTTTTCATTATCTTTTTTCTTATCTTTTTTGTTCCTTCGTTAACTTTCATTCTTTCTTTATTTCTTTCCTTAATTTATTTGTGTCATTCATTTTTCTTCCTTTGTTTTGCCTTTCCTGTGTTCTTCTTTGTTCCTTCTTTTTCATTTGTCTTTCTTTCATCTATTTTTTCCCTCCTTTACATTTTCTCATTCTTCGTTCTGTTTTCTTTTATTTCTTCTTCTTTTAAAACAGACTTTTATTTCTTCTTCTCTTCTCTTTCTGGCTTAAAACTTAACTTTTTCATTTTTCCTTTCTTCTCTCTCTCTCTTTTCATCTGTCCTGTTTTGTTTCTCTTTTCATTTTCTTTTACTCTCCAACATATTCCTTTTCTGCACTTATTTCTTCTTTTGCTCTTTCTTTTTTCCATTTTTTTTATATATTTTTTTCAAATTTCCTCTTCTCCTTACCTTTTTGTTTACAGACATTTTTCTTTTCTTTTCTTCCTTTTCTTCCTATCAATATTCTTTAGTTATTTTCTCATCAGCAAATTTTAGACATCAATTTGCACTAAAATTTTTCTCCCAAACTCTCTTGGTAAAACCATTAAAAATAATGTCTTTTAAATATATTTCAGCTGACATATAATCACATGCACACACACACACACACAAATATATATATATATATATATATATATATATATATATATATATATATATATATATATATTAAGATATGTAGATGGATATAGATGTATTTATGTATGTATATTGCAATGTTGGTACCTTTCATAAAATCCTTTTCAAAATAACAAAATTCATCAGGAAAAAATATGAAATAAGAAAAATATCTGCTGACTCAGTCAATATGGTCGCCATTTTTCTTACACTTTTCTTCTATACACACCCTCTTCCATTCAAATAGCAATACTCAACAGATATAATTCAATGTAGACTTTCCCAGATAATTGCTTTAAGAATTTTCTTGTGAGATATCCATTTATTTCCTCCTTTTCTTTAATGGAATTGGCTCTTATAAAATTCTATTGAGTAAACTAGGGTATCTGAAAAGTTTTCTTGAGGTCAGTAACTTTACATCATTCAATTTGTGATAGATTTCTTCTTAAGAATGGAGTTATGGCAGATTATTTGCAAAGTAAATCATTGGAACATTGTAAGGTTTTTTCCTTTTTACATTTTTACACTCACCTTATTTTTAAACATGCACTCATATGTATATATATATATATATATATATATATATATATATATATATATATATATATATATATGTATGTGTGTGTGTGTGCGTTTGTGTGTGTACAACAGCAACAGAAGCAATAGCAGTCATTACAAATCTATCACTGTGCAAAGATATTTCACAGTTCCTTCCATGATAGCTATGTCTGATGATCACACTGAAACATGAAACTGACAGTGACTATGCAGTGTTGATTCTTATGTCAACACTGTCTACAAAAAAAAGCTCTATCTCCAATATTGAGCATTCTTCCTCTATAGATACAACAAGTTTTATATAACACACCATCCTGGGTATGTCGATAAACTACATCCACGTCCTGGGTAACTATGTCTAGCAGCAAGGACTCTGATCAAGAGATTTTGAGGAGTGTAGAATGACCACTTAATTGCTGGTGTTCCCAGGTCCACCCTGACTCAGAGTGATAGCACCTGTTAGGGTCCCAACTATGGGAAAATAGTTAACCCCCAAACTGGGGTCAATACATTATGAAAGTGTAAAAATACCAGCAATACATTTTTGGAAAAATTATTACCAGCAATACATTTTTGAAGAAAATATTACCAGCATCTTGTTGGAATTAAATAACCCATTGAGGTTGATATGTGATAAAACAAAACAAACCAAACTTAATAGCACACACACACACACACACACACACACACACACACACACATATATATATATATATATATATATATATATATATATATATATATATATATATATATATATATATATAATATAATTAATTCAAATGTTATTTTAGAGGATATACATTTTGAGTAGATGGCATGTTTATTTTAAACAGTATTTATTTCATCTGCTGGCCTGCATAATCAAGATAACTTAATAAAGAAAATGAAAAATAAATACTGCTCAAAATAAACAAAATGTCAACTCTCTATATGGGTATCCACTAAAAATAACATTTGAAGTGAAATATATATATATCTATCTCTCTCTCTCTCTCTCTCTCTCTCTCTCTCTCTATATATATATATATATATATATATATATATATATATATATATATATATATATATATATACTAGCAGTAGAGCTCGGCGTTGCCCGGGGATGTAACAGTAAGAGATAGATCAAGTATCGACCATCATAAAGACTGAAAAAATAAAATTGACAAAGATTATTTTTTAAGGTTGACGGACACGCATGTCTTAATTAGCTTTTTTTTTTTTTTACAAATTGGTCAAACCCAAACTCAATCAAAAACATTGTTTTCAATCGTTATGAGTCTACCGATTGAATAGAATTTTATTATAAACAATTGTCTTGTAAATGGAATTTTTAAAGCATTCTGAATATAAAAATAAAGAAAAAAGTGTGCAAGACAATAAGAAACACTACCTGCCAAAAAATGAAGTTTTGTTGAAATCAGTTGAAAAATGTAGGAAATTCGATCCCATATATAAACGAACACAGACATACACACACACAAACAACCTGGGTTTTATAATAAGTATAACTCGATATGAGTTGTCCCCCTTTCATTCTTGCAACAGCGATGCCGCTTAATCGTGTTTTCAAATTGATTTCGTGCGAAAACAATTGTGTTTTTCCAATTTTTGGCACTGTCAGAACCATCACAAGGTAATTTTACATAGTCCTGTGAAGTTTTGTTGAAATCGGTTGAAAAATGTAGGAAATCTGATCCAATATATAAACGTACTGACACACACACACACACAATCTGCATTTTATAATAAGTAAGATATATATATGTGTGTGTGTGTATGTGATAATGATACACTCTCCTGGTGTTTTCAATGTATGAGTGTCTTTCAGTTTTTAGTTTTTATGTTTATGTTTTTTTTAGGAGACAACAATCTTTCATGGGATTTGCAAACAAGTCTGCACGAAGGAGATACTGAAGGGTTAACTATCATATGGGTTGATATATTAGCCCGAGATTTACTGTAATTTCTTAATTTTCTCAAATGGCTGAGACGATTCTTTACAAAGTTAGTTATACCTTGGTAGCAGGGGTTTCTCCAGTTTGTCAGGTTTTCAATATATGTGTGTGTGACAGTTATATATATATGTGTGTTTAAATATAAATACACACACACTGACATGCATATATATATATATATATATATTTATATATGATGATGATGGACTCTCTAGTCGTTTTCAACTTATGAATGTCTTTCTATTCAGTTTTTATGTTTATGTTTCGTATGAGACAACAATCCTGCACAGGATTTGCAAACAAATCCACACGAATGGTATACTGAAGGATTAACTGTCATATGGGGGTGATATATTAGCCCTAGATTTAGTATTAATTCTTAATTCTCTCAAATGGTTAAGACGATTCTTTTCAAAGTTAGTTATACCTCGGTAGCAGGTATTTCTTCTCATTTTGTCGGGTTTTCACAGCAATTTCGAACTCCTCTATAGGGATGTTTGCAGTATTTAAATTATATTTAAGTTTGTTCTTGAAACATATATATATATATATATATATATATATATATATATATATATATGTTAGTCTGTTGTTCAGAAATATCTAAACTGTATACAATCACTTTCTCAAATAGTGGTCTATAAATGACTTTGAGTTAGTGAATCATGTAAGTCTTAGCAAGGACCAACCTTCCTGAAGCCTTGATGTTGTGGCCTTGTTAGGGCCAGAAATAAAGACACAAAGAGAGGAATTGAGTTAAACAAATATATTAACAGAAACAGTAATACAAACATATACAAACGAGAGTGTTACAGCAAGAATGTTCAGTCCGACTGTCAGGGCTGACTGCGGGAAACTTCCCTCTCCAAAAGGCAATACCTGCTCCTATTTATAGCTGGAAGAGTCCATGCGTGCGTGGGTAAATTATGATAACAGTTCTCATCTATCTATCTATCTATCTCAGTCTGTTCATATCTATCTATCTATCTATCTATCTATCTATCTCAGTCTGTTCATATCTATCTATCTATATATCTATATATCTATCTATCTATCTATCTATCTATGTATCTATCTATCTCATTCTCTTCATTATCTATCTGATTCTGATATTATCTATCTATCTATCTATCTATCTATCGTGGCCTTGTTAGAGCCAGAAATAAAGACACAAAGACAGGAATTGAGTTAAACAAATATATTAACAGAAACAGTTATACCTCAGTAGCAGGTGTTTCTCCAGTTTGTCGGGTTTTCAACAGCAATTTTGAAATCCTCAATAGGGTGGTTTACAACAATTAAATTGTATTTAAGTTCATCCTTGAAGCATAACCAAGGATGGTCTACGTTAAGCATATCATGAAAAAGCTGACTATACATGAGGTTTTCCAATCATCACTCATTCTGATGACATGACCAGTTCATCTGATCAGAAAGGATTTGATACCACGGACGCCACATTTGATGAAAAGATCAGGGTTAGAAATTTTGTCCTCCCATGTATAACCACATACTGAACCAAAGACAGCATTTATGAAAAGCCTCAAGTTGATTGTATGTCATCCACAATTCTGACCCATGAAGAAATTCGGTGAGAAAGATTGCTCAATAGACACTGATTTTCATTTTCAGTGTAATCCAATGAACATTCCATTGGTGATGCTTAAACTTCCCAAAGGCATTGGTTACCTTTGATATTCAGTTAACTATTTCGTCATCCAAAGAAGCACTTCCTAAGTATGAGAATGATTACATATATGTATGTATGTC